GAAAGAGGGACAATTATTTCTATGAGTAATATAGGATTAAGCTTTATTTGGAGCATGTATCATAGTAAACCAATGCACCACGTTCTATAAAAATCTTAATCTCATATTACTCATAGAAATAATTGTCGCTGTTTCATATAATCGAGTCACATATCTAAATTATAATTTTACTAAAAGTCAATTATTCATACAATATTCATAGGTTTAAAGTAAAATAGTAACGTTATAATTATCAGGATAAATAGCTAATGTTACTCTGGTTGTCTAAAACTCATATAACTTATTAACCCTAACCCTAAGCATTTTATTGATTATATTTATTTATTTATAACATAGAAACTGGATTATTTTAATCCCCTGATTCAAACAGCGAGTATGAGACAAATGATGGTTAAACTTAAACTACGTCCTTGGTAATGATATAATTATGTTATTTATAAATATACAGGTATATAATTAAAATACCTTACCTTAACACATAATTTATAAAACTGACGTAAATAATTATTATTACAAAATACAATAAATATTACGTGACATTAAATAATAATTAATATTAAAGTTAATTAATTTAACTTTTTGATTATTATGTGCTTTTCGATATGTATTACGTAACAGGATATAATTTTGTTGACTATAAAATATTTCATGAAAAGTGTATAATTTAATATTTAATGTTTATAAAATCAATTAACATAAATATTTGTGTCTTAAGTGTCTATGTGTATAATCATTTGTCACTTAATTGATTATAACCAGGGACTTGATGATTATTATATCCAGGGTTTAAACAAGTTTTTGTTTATTTCTTTAAAAATATTTTTTGAGTTAAACCATTTAAAAGCTTGCAAATAATTTACACTTTAATTATACTGTAATTATATTGAAAACTTACAATCGTACAATCTTAGATAGATAAATACAAATGTAGTATAAATGTGAAATTGTATATTGCTTTATTTCACATTTAACAAACTTAAGTCTACCGTAATAGTGTATTAATATTTTAGTGCAATGTATTTTTTGCTACTTTATATGATTGTAGTTATATTGCTAATATTAGCATTTTTGTACCACAAATGGACATTTTGGAAACGCCAGGGTATACCCAACGACCTGTCATCCAAGAGTGGACTACCATTTCATGTGACCGATAATGAGTCGCATAGAAAATACGGCAAAATTGTCGGGTATTTAAATAATTTTTAATATATTGATATTATACTGTACGTGACATTTGAAATAAAACATAAATCTTTTATTTTATAGCTATTACGAAGGTTTGAAGCCATGTCTGTCCATAACTGATCCCAATTTAATCCGCAAAGTATTGGTCACAGAGTTTCATAGTTTTGTGAACCATAGGGTAAGTTATCTAGCAGAAATACTGTTTATTAAAATAAAATATTAAATAAATAAAGAGATTTATATAAAACATTATTAATGTTTTTAAAAACCTCTATAAAAATAACAATATTATAACTTAATTACTTAGAAGTGAAATAAAATAAAATAATTATGTCTTTAAATTAAAATTACATTACAATGTGTTTGGGTGGGGAACAGGAGCTGACCGATGAGAGCGAGCACATGAACAAAGGCCTGTTCTTCTCGAGGTATCCCAACTGGAAACGGATCCGAGCCATACATTCGCCATCGTTTTCAACGGGAAAACTAAAGGCAATGAAACCGATGATCGAGAAAACTATGGATCAATTGATCGCCAAATTAGATCCGAAAGCCAGTGATCAGCAAATCGTAGACTTCCGGCATTATTACGATTCCCTTACCTTTGATGTGATCACACGGGCAGCAGCCGGCGTACATACCGGTGCCGTCGATAATCCGGTCAATAATCTGTTATTAACGGCTGTTAAGAAATTGCTTCAAAAGGATCAGGATATGTGGGATTGGATGGTGTTTTTCATGCCATTTATACGTAATTTTGTTGAGATTAAATTTTTTGATGGCAAGAGTCAAGAGATTATCTCTGAGTCCATAAGACGTGTGATTAGAGAGAGGACTGAGAAGAATATCGATGTCCCGGATCTGTTGCAGTACTCCATAGACTACAGTGTTTTGTCGGCAAAAGTTATCAGGAATAAGGAGTTTGCAAGTTTTGAGAGTAAGTAAAATTAGTATACCGTTTAGGGAGGGATTGGATGGGGAACGGGATGTGTTCGTGTGTGAGAGAGAGAGGGTGAGGGAGAGGGGAAGAGGGAGAGAGAGAGAGATTAACAAAGATCTTGAGATTAATTATAATTTTACTTTTGATATTCACTTGTCTTCTCTCTCACTCTCTCTCTCTCTGTAATAGAATAAACATAACTTTCACTATAGAGTTAACGGAGGACGAGGTGTTGGGCCAAAGTATGAACATAATAGCCGCCGGTTATGAGACAACGGCCACACAGTTGTGTTTCATGACTCGACTACTGGCCCTCAATCCTAACCATCAGAATAGACTCGTCGACGAGATTAAGACCACGTTTGCCGACAACTCAGACATAGATTACGACCGACTCATGAAAATGTCGTTTTTGGACGCATTTGTCAAAGAGGTCATGAGAATCAACTGCTCAGTGAATAGGTGGGTGCTCTGTATACCGGGTATAATCACATCATAATTAACAGTATATTCTGTGTATAGAATCGACAGAATCACCACAAATGACACATATTTGGGGGGAATATTCGTACCGAAAGGCACTAATATTATTATCCCTATTTGGGCCCTACATGTGGACCCGGATCACTTTCCCGACCCAATGGAGTTTAAGCCCGATAGGTTTATGCCGGACAATGAGCACCTGATTAAGGACTACACATATCTGCCCTTCGGTACCGGCCCTCGCAATTGCATTGGTATGCGGTTCGCCTTAATGGAGATGAAGTACTCATTAGTGAGACTTTTGCGTAAATATGAGTTCCTGGTGTGCGATGAGACTCCGGTATGTCTAGGTTTTTGTGTAATGATTATACACATAATTATAAATATTATGAATTTAATTTTATTAAAATTTGTAATAATTTTCTGTAACTAGGACCTGGATTACTTTGCCCCACTGATACAAATAGCGTGCATGAAACAAATGAAAGTTCGGGTCAAACACCGGTAAACACTAGTAATAATGATACTGAATAGCAGTGTACTTGTTTTTATGTAGTTTAAATTTAAAAGTTTAGCACATAATCTAGCACATAAAAGCACATAAACTTAATAAAGGTATACAAAAAACTAATAAACTCTATCAATAATTGTGTATATTTAATTTTGTTCATTTATTATTTAACATTTGTTTAATAAAAGTTTTTTGTGTGTAAAATATTTATTATGTTCTTATTGAAAGTAAGTTCAATAAGGAAACTTACATAATTTTAAAAATTATTTTTAATTAACTAACTTATAAATAACAATATCTGATATGTCAACCAACATAGTAGCTTGCTCAATTGTATCAGATTTCGAAAAAAGTTTTGTCCATCAGATTTGACTACTAAAATGCGGGTTATTGCTAAACTATTTAAGTTATCAAATTTATATTTAAACCTTAATTATGGTTTTTGGTCTT